GAAAGAGCGAGAAGTCCGTGCCTCACCCTTTGCTCCTGCGCCTTCATTTCCTTCTCCAGCACCTGAGACATATAGCTCACAGCCAGAATCACGTGGTCCACGCCGGCCTGTGGGACAGAACGGCGCCGGCCGCCAGGCGGATTCAGCCGAAGGCACCGGTGTCCCCGACCCCCAATCGCTGGCCGTCCCTCATCTTATGAGGTCCTACCAAGACCCCGGCCCCGGGCCTTACCGCGGCCAGCGCCTCCACTTGGTGCAGCAAGATGGGCTTATTGCAGAAGTCCACCAGCGGCTTCGGGATGCTTAGCGTCAGCGGCCGCAGGCGCGTCCCATAGCCACCCACCAAAATCAGTGCCTTCATTGCGCCTGCGGGCGGCCGAAGAGTGAGTCCCGGGCTGCGAGGTGTCCGCGGCCTGCCTGGCGGACCCCTGCCGCACACTCCCGCCACTGTGCCCGGCCCCGCGCCCTTCACCCGCCAGACTGACCAACTCTGGCTCTGCCTTGTCTGCCCAGTCCGCGCTGACGCTAGGGCCGAGACCGCAGCAAACCAGGACGCGACGCCGGACGGAGACCGACTGCCTCCCAACTCGGGCCGGCGGCCGGCGGGAAGTGACGTAAACTCGGGCGGCCCAATCAGCTACCACATACGTGGCACACCGTCGGCGTCGAAGCGCCGATACGCGACGCTCCGGCCGACGCAGCCAATGAGAGCCGAGAGCGCCGGGCTGCCATGGGGACCGGGACCCGGACCTGCGGGTCAGCTGGCCATTGGCGGATCCAAAAGCGCAGCTGGCGCCAAGGGCGAGGCTTCTTTTGCGCTGCGCCCCAACCGCTTCCGGCCCCTCCCCGCCTCACCGGGCCGGCCGGGCCGGGGAGGGGCCGAGGACGCGGGCGGGCCGGACTAGGCCCGTCTCCCGGAGCCCGAGGGGTTTCTCAAAGACACGGATACGCCTCGGTTTCTAGCGGCTTTATTTTGACATACACGACCTCAGACACAAGCGGGGCGGGCAGCGCTAGGTGTACAGAAAGGGGCAGGCTCAGCCCAATGCCGGAGCAGCCCCTCCCCTGCACGCAAGGTCCCGAGAAAACGCAACCGCGCCCAGACGCGACCGGAGCCACGTGTCACATCCGGGCGCAGGGCTCAGGCGGCGTGGACAGGCTTAGGCAGCTTCCAGGAAAGTGGAGTAGAGAGCGGTCCTCCAGGCGAGGCCTTGCAGTTCCCCGAGAAGCAAAGATACCAGGCTCTTCCCTTGGTTCTCCCCAAACTTTTCCCCATTAAAACATTTTTTAAATCGGCACAAACAAAACCAAATTGAACAGTTTTAAAAGTTCAAGCAATCTGCATCTAGGGGGGGTGCTCGTGGCAGGATGTGAGCAAGTGAGCAGAGGATACGAACTAGCCCAGGCCTCTGGCCCCTTAAGGAGAATCCCCACGCCCACTGTACAGGCCCGGATGTGAGGGAGGGGTGGCGTCCCTGGCAAGTTGCAAAACTGGTCCCCTTCCTCTTTAAGCACCGCCCATCCCACCCCGCTAAGGGGGCTGGTGTCGACTTTGTCCAGGGAAGCACTATAGAGAGGGGTCGCTTGAACGCCCCAACCCGTGATCCCATCTTGCACTTTGGTCCCAAGTTGGGGCTGGGAAGGCAGGGCCTGGCAGGGACAGGGCTCTCTAGCATGGAACAGGGCGAAATGGTGGCAAAGAGCGTGTGCAGACAGACATGCCCAACACCCACCAGAAAACAGGGCTGTGTCTCCCAAGTGTTCAAAAGTACTGAAAACAAGGGGCCCTGCCCTGGGGGAGCAGCAGCAAATCCCAGCCCTGCTCTTTTAGTGGCAGGCAAACACTGAATTTAAGTCGGTACAGCCTCTCTCGCGATGAAGAGCGGAATGGGGCAGCATCTCCCATAATATACAAACTCAGGAAGCACAGCACATCCCCAGGCTGGAGAGGTGCCATCAAGTGGGTCCCGAGTGGCCCCAGACCCTTTGCTTTAGCCCCTGCCTTACCAGGAAATGACTATCCACACTAATGAAGAGCTACTGCCCCCATGGATGAAGCCACAGAATAGTACAGAAGATGGTCATTACTGACCAGAAACAGGCAAGCTGCCCCTCCTAACCCCAAGGAATGGGAACCTGCCCACCAACGGCACCAGGGTCAGAGGGCCGAGAGAGATGGGATCCCATCAAGGAGCCCATTTAAGATGTGTGGGGCTGCATCTCTAAGGACCAGGAAATTAGTCCATCAGTTACCAAGGCCTCTCAGAGACACAGGCTGGCAGGCTTACCATTAATGCCCAAATAGGGACATGCTAAAAGTGACAATGACAGTGGCCCTAGACTCAGAGGTGAGGGCACTAACCTCAGCAATAGCTAGGTGAGTGCAGTATCACCTGGCCACATGTGTTAGAGGTGGCAGGTCTCTGTGCCATTAAGGGCTGGCAGAAAAAGTTACGGGCAAGGAATGGGTCACCCCCTGGGCCTTCACTGTGCTACTGTCAGTGTTGAGTGTTGAGGGGGCCACATTCCAGGCTCACAGAGAGGGTGTTGGGCCAGCAGGGAAACACCTCCTCCAATTCATTTTGCTACCAGTTCTTTTAAAAAAGGTAGCACCTGCTGAGGAAGGGCACAGGGGCAAAAGCTCACCTCAGAAATGGTAAAGAGAATATTTTGCTGAGGGAAGCATGAAGGAAATCAATATTTACTAATGAACAAGGCTAGAGCCCAGGGGAAAGATCACAGGGGCTGGCAGATGGACAAATGGACAGACTGATGGACCCCAGTACTGATAAGACAAAACTCTCATTAGCAGAATCTGGGCACCTGCACCCAGCGCCCAATGTCCCTATAAGCAAACAAGCTTAAAGTTCTCCCTCACAAGCCTGGAGCTCCTCACATGGGCTGCTGCCTTGAGCTTGGCCTGGGGAGAGGTGAGACCCTGAGCGGACCACAGCCTTTGAGCCCTGGAAGGAGCGGCCCATCCAAGGCAGCACAGCTGCCCAAGCTAGAGGAAGAGGACTCCTACCCACAGCACAAGGACTGCAAATACTAGCTGGGTCAGAGCCATCAGAGGCCCTGAGGCCTGCTGGAACATTGACTCTCCTCAGCAAACAGAGCAGGGCCCCCTCCAGTGGGGCAAGAGGGGATGGCCTCCTTAGGCAAGGGATCTTGGTGAGAAACGCTGGCTGGGCTGTGCAGGCAGGAGGAGCAGCAGGTTCAAGTGCCAAATAGTGCCTGGGGATCCCAGGGCCTGCCCTCTACCATTGCTGGCTTCAGCACAGCTTCATGAATCTAGCCTCATGCCAAGGTCAGAACCGAGAAGGGTCCAGCTGTGTGCAGTTGGCCCTGTGGTGCCCTGAGGACATCTGTTACAGACCTAGGTGATACCCACAACACAAGCTACAAAGTCCCCCAAGAGATGGGCACCCAACCTTCTACTACTGGGAACAAGGGATGAGTGAGCATGGAGGGGCCCTGAGCCAACCCAGGGCTTCACCCCACAACTAGCAGGACCCTGCAGCCACAGATCCCAAAGACCTAGGCAAGAGAAACCAATGTCCAAGGGCAACCTGTCCCTGCTGCCAAGCCCACCAGGGGTATCTCTTCCTTCCTAAGTCAGCCTGGACACAGCAGTCAGAACCATAGAGCTAGGAAGCCTGGCTGAGAGGATGTGTTCTGCCCTCCTTCACTTTATATATATGGATTCCAGGCTACAGCTAAAAACATTTCTTTTAGTTTACACCAAAGAGAAATATAACCCTTTTAAAAGCAAGTCTGTGTGTCCTCATGGCGAGTTCAGAGCAATGGTCCCTGCCTGAGGGTGGAGAGGAAGGGGTTCTGGAAGCCCAGAGCTGGGCCTACTGGTTCTCGTCCCGCATCTGTTCCATGATGCTGATGAGGTTCTCCAGGCCAAACACATAGCCTCGGTCAGGCCCATCATGCACAGTGGGGTCATCTCGGAAGCCCTTGAATGTGCTGTGTGCAAAGTCGATCATGCGGACATCCACCTTGGGTGGAGAGACGGGGCCCACCTCGGGGCTGGTGCTGCTGGGGCTGGTGCTAGGGCCACAGGATGGTGCCACCTCAGGGAGCCCTGTGTCCAGATGCTTGATACGCATTTCGGACCGGCGGTCCAGGTAGGACTCAGACCGGCACTCCTTACCATCATAGATGACAAGCAGGGAACTGGAGTAGAAGCGGTAGGAGGCCTGCCGCTCCAGTACAGCTTTCAGGCCTCGCAGTTTGCTCAGGATGGGCTCAAAAAGGTCACGCCGCAGGTCCAGGCCATTGTGCAGGTACTGATAGAGGGCATTGCGGAAGCCTTCAATGGAGAGCCCACGGCCATAGTACTTGTTCCTGCAGAGGTAATGCCCCGTGTCCAGCTGGTACACCTGAAACCCCAGGAGACAGACAGGTGAGTACCAGGGAGGTCTGATGACCTCACAGTGCCCTGGGCAGGCACTATCTGGAAAGTACTTCTGACCAACCTGAGCTTTTCTGCTCAACCCTACACAACTGGAGTAGGCAGGCCAAGTTCACCCTAAGCTTTCCTGTGGTAAAGCCAGCAATGTGCAGAGACCAGGCCAACAGGTTTTCTGTCACTACCTTTGGAGCCCTCCTCCAAGTTGCCCCAGGAGACCAGCTGGACTCAAACTAGGAATTATCTTGCTGACAGACAAGAGTCTTACTTGCCCCAGTATGAAGGCAACAGGCTCTCACAGTGGTTCTGCACTGGAGGCCAGACCAAGGTCCCCAGGTAAGGACAAGAGGGCTCAGGGAACATGTCTACAAAAACGCACTCAGCACCCTGTAGGGGACTCACCCTCTTGGAGGAGATTATGGGCCACTGTGGGCCAGGAGGACACCTGGCTCGGATAGCAGGCAGGCACACACACAACCCAAAACATGCAAGCAGGAGCACCTAGGCGCTCACCAAGGATGACTCACCTGCATGCCACAGACCCTGACACCCAGCGTAGCTGACGTACTTTGCTCACACTTCCGCATCTGCCGGGCTGCCTTCTCAGCTGATGCATCATCACCATGCTGCCGGGTGCCCATCTTCAGGTCCAGCACACAGGGGTACTTGAAGTGGTGCACCACGTTCTCAAGCAGGAGGAACTCTGGGCCACAGTCAACGGGAATAACCACCAAACTCACCATCAGCCCCAGCCAGAAAAGCACAATCCAATTTTTCTATAAAAGGAGGCATTCCCTTCTAATGTAATCTGTATTTACCTCACAAACTCTCAAATGTGGATTTCAAACTACTGGCTTACTATTTCTTTAAAAAATTTTTTTGTTGTGGTAAAATACATGTAACATTTATCATTTTAACCATTTTTAAGTATACAGTTCAGTGGTGTTAAGTACATTCATATTATTGTGCAACCATCACCACCATCCAATCTCCAAAACTTTTTCATCTTCCCAAATAGAAATTAGAAACTGTACCCATTAAACAGTAACTCCCATTCCCCCCTCCCCTGCCCCCATAACCACTATCTACTTTCTGTCTCTATGAATTTGCCTGTTCTAGGTACTTCATATAAGTGGCATCATGTAATATTTGTCCTTTTGTATCTGGCTCTTTCACTTAGCAAATTGTTTTCAAGCTTCATTCATATTGTAGCATGTGACAAAATTTCATTCCTTTTTATGGCTGACTAATTTTTCATTGTATATATATACCACATTTGTTGATATCATCATTTTTATTTTATTCTTTAGATCTGTCTTGCAGGCATACATAAATAAACCAAAGAAGATTTGACAGTTTCACATACATCCCTGGCACCATCAGTAGACCAAGGCCCTGCTCAATCCAGTGTCTCACTCAGGCCTAAGTAGTAAGGAACTTCCTTTGTAGCACTACTACAAAAATGATAAATCAGATTTAACATTCCCAAACAGGAATCTTTAGAAAAATCTGGATTTAAATTTCTATCTTGCCATTTTCTGAATAAACTTCAAACCAGTGGACCATATATTTAAACTCATCCCTTAGTACTTCTAGGATCTTCTGCTTAAAATGGCTCTGTGGTCCTGGCCTCCTGACATTTATATCCATGTCCTCATCTACATCTCCTGTCTGCAACAATCTTAAAGGTACAGGCCTGTCACATGTCTGCCAAAAGTCATCAGGGCTCACAGCCTAGCCCTCAATTCCACATTTGGGACTATGTAGCAATCACATGGTCTTGGAGGCTAAGACCCTCAGCATCACTCTGATGATGAATATTTTAATATCCGCTAATTCTTTAAGGAATAACATTAAAAAAATCATTAAATATGGCTTTTAACTAGTCTCATCACCTGCTATAAGCTATAAACAAGTGACAGTAAAACTCAAAGAAGGTTGCAGAAATATCTCACAATGCCTGAGAGCACTGGATCCTGCTTAGGCCACTCACTGGCTCTGAGCACAACACTTAACCACCCTGCGCTTCCATTTACTCGTCTGTAAACGGAAATCATAACAGTTCCTCCCTCAAAAGACTTAGGAAAACTGAGTAAGTACATATGAAGTGCTCAGCATACTTCCCCTCAGTTTCTCAGTAAGATTTATTTATTGTCTACTGCTTCAAAACACTAAATGATTTTAAGAATTCCCATTTCATAATACTTTTTTACCTTTGGGATCTTAAAAAACTGTTTTATATTGCACAGGTATAGTGTTTATCTTTAGAAAAAACATACTAAAATCAAACATATTACTTTTTAATTATTATCTTTTGGGAGGGGAGAAATACACACGTGTACATGTGTACATATGCGCATGCGCACACACCCCTCCCTCCCAATTCCAGACAGGCACTGATAAATATGGTAGCCACTATCTATGCCTGGTGATTTAAATTTAGATTTTAATTAATTAAATAAATTAAAAATTCAGTAACTCAGTCATAGCAGCCACATTTTGGTTACAGTGTGGCTAGTGGCTACCACAAATTTCAGCACAGATTCAGAACACTTCCATTGTCACAGACAGTTCTATTGGACAGCACTCTTCTAGATTGCCAAGTTTAAGCTTCCGTCTTACCAGCCCCAAAACGCAGGAAAAAAACATGTTGATGAAAATAAGAAGGACAAAGAGGAAGAAGAGCCTATGGAAAAGGGAGATGAGAACAAAAGAAGAGCTCCTGAACAGAGAGGGCGCTGGCCATGGTACTGGTAGGTGCCCTGACACAGGACTCATGGTCCCAGTAGCAGGCACTGCTGGAGAAGCAGTAACAAGGATACTGTAGAGTTTTCGGTCCTTGGACTCGGAGCGCATGCGGCTCAGCTGCTGTTTGTGACAGCGCAGGCTCCAAGGGTTGTGGCTGATCTTCTCGGAACTCAGACCACTGTTGCCATCCAGCATCTGGAAAGGGACGTCCGAGTGGCTGTGAAGCTCCACCTTCGGAGTCTTTGCCTCCTGGGGGCTAAAAAGGAAGAACATACCCATTGCTAAGGGGCTCAGACAAGTCACCCTCTGGGGTCTCACTACACAGGGTGGGGGAGGCCTGGATCAAGTCTAATGTGCCACGCATAGACCTTCCTGAGGGGTGACACGGGGCCCAGATGCATGAGCCCATTAAAGTGAGTAAATGGTGTAAGTACTAAGGAGCTAGGGTGTGCAGCCTGTGCTGCTAAACTGATCTGATTTGATGTCAGAGACAAACTATGTGCTGCCACATCTAAGAAAAGTCCCAATTCCAACTTCTAGGTCAAGTCACAGAGCATCCTATTCACTGAATTTTATTTTTTTATTTTTTTGGCCATGCTGCACGGCTTGCAGGATCTTAGTTCCCGGACGAGGGATCAAACCCAGGCCCTCGGCCGTGGAAGTGCCAAGTCCCAACCACTGGACTGCCAGGGAATTCCCTCACTGAAACTTATTTTTGAGTGATATTAAGTATATATAAAGTAATTTAATCATACAACTTTAATTTCACTTTGGTTCAAAACGCTCATTTTTTATTTACATTAGTTTTATTTTTTTTTACAAGTCAGTTTTTTGGAGTTTTTTTTTAGTATATTCATGAGGTTATAAAACACCACCACTATTTAATTTTTAGGAATTTTCATCACCCCAAAAACAGACCTTGTCACCATTACCAGTCACTTCCCATCTATCCCTCCCCCTCAGTCCCTGGGATCCACTGACTTTGCCTTCTGTCTCTTGGACAGAAACGATGGATTTGCCTATTCTGAACACCTTATATAAATGGAACCATATAATATGTGGTTTTCTGTGACTGGCTTCTTTCATTTAACATAAATGTTTTCAAGGTTCATCCATGTTGCAGCATGTGTCAGTACCCCGTCCCTTTTTATTGCTGAGTAATATTCTATTGTATAGATATACCACATTTAATTTATCCATTCACCAACAGATGGACACTCAGGTTGTTTCCAGTTTTCGGCTATTAGGAATAATGCTGCTATAAACATTTGTGTACAAGTATTATGTGTGAGTATATTCCTTCAATTCTCTTGGGCATATACCTAGGAGTGCAGTTGCCAGGTTTAACTTTTTGAAAAAGTGCCTAATTGTTTTCCAGAATAGCTGCACTATTTTACATTCCCATCAGCAATGTAGGAGGGTTCCAATTTCTCCATATCCTCATCAAAACTTTTATTGTCTATCCTTTTAATTATGGCCACCCTTGTCAGGGTTCACATTTTTTTGCATGATATATCAAGAAAAATAATTCTTTGTAGACTATTTTCCTAATCTACAAGAAAAATCAATTTCCAATGCAATAAACTGAACTTCAGATTCAGGGAAAGGATTAATAGCTGATAGCAGAGTCTCAGAGAGATATGACACCCAAACCCTTAAGGAACACTAGTCTGGATGCCACTCATTGCCTTTGGGCTCTGACATCCTGCAGGTGAGAAAGGAGCTGGAACCGCATCGTGGACCAATGCATTTCCACCTCTGTCTTGGGGGTGCAAGACATAACAAAGCTGGAAAAAACAGGGTGTTCTTGTTCCCAAAAAGCTGAGGGAACTTCATTCTCTCTTGACTAGCTACAGCCATACTCATAAGGAGGCATCACTGGGGTGATGTGACATACAGGCGGCAGCCTGCACCTATGTGGGTGGCCTAAGAACATCAGCCACCTTCCCCCAACCTTGAGCCTTACTTCCCCATGATGTATCAGGACTCTAGAGATATTCTGAGTATATCAGGACCAGACGTGAACCACCAGTCCTGCTTACCATCCCCTTACCTCTCTGAGGTTTCAAGGGACAGGCTGGCTTTCTCCTCCCTGTGGTCACTGCCACTGCCTGACCGGTGCAGGCTCCGGCGAGAGTGCTTACGCCGAGGTTGCTCCCGCTCTGGTGTGTCATCCTGCTCCACAGTCTCACTTTCCACATAAGGGTAGGCCACCAAGTTGATGTAACCATCACTGTCCCCCTCAAAGCAGACTGACACCACTCCTGTTGGAGAAAAAAAGGCAGCCAGTCAACAAATGTCTACAGAGATTGGGTCCCTTCAGTTCAGACTGCTGGCACATGCTGTCCCTCAGCACACTGACATCACCTGCCCTGAATCAACTGTAGGGACAATGACTAGCAGACATCTTTCCAAAACATAGCTGACCACTAATCCCCCATTCTAAGTCTAACCACTAATCCCCCATTTCTAAGTCCACTATTTACCTTTGATTTTGGATAAATCTATATATTTTTCCCATTCTCTTGTCTAACCCTCTCACTTTCTTTTTTCCTTTTTAATAAATTTATTTATTTATTTATTTATTTATGGCTGCGTTGGGTCTTCGTTGCTGCGACGGGCTTTCTCTAGTTGTGGTGAGCGGGGGCTACTCTTCATCGGGATGCGTGGGGGTTCTCATCACTGTGGCTTCTCTTGTTGTGAAGCACGGGCTCTAGGCACGTGGGCTCAGTAATTGTGCATGTGGGCTCAGTAGTCATGGCTCATGGGCTCTAGAGCACGGGCTCAGTAGTTGTGGTGCACGGGCTAAGCTGCTCCGCGGCATGCGGGATCTTACTGGACCAGGGCTCGAACCTGTGCCCCCTGCACTGGCAGGCGGATTCGTAACCACTGAGCCACCAGGGAAGCCCACCCTCTCACTTTCAACTACTGCCTTCTGTACCATTCAAAAGAACTGTACTTTCTAGGTGACATCCACACTCGACATAATTTAACCCTCTACTTATTTAACTGCTCTATGATGCTGTCATTTCCTATGTCCTCCTCTAGATCTGGTTTCCTTCTGCCTGACAATGTCACCTAGAGAGACATCAAGACTTCTCAAAGACAGTCCCCAAAATATGTCTTCTGCCAACACTGAACATCAGGCTATTCTAAGCTCAACAGGCAGAACTTCTGCCTAACCAAACCACCAGCATTCCTAAATTGAAACACCTATTTTCCGTGCTGTACTCATGCAAAACAGTTTGTTGTGTCCATTTTTATCAAACAGGTTTTCATAGTTTCTTCTGGATCATTACCAAATGAGTTGAAACACAATACCTAGAAATCAAGGAGTTTTTTGTTATTTGTTCTTAAAAAGGTCTAGGCTGCCCTTCATCTAACTTCCATATCCAACCCTCTGTCAGCTACACTCCTCATTTACACTCTTGGTGTGCAATATCAGCATTATTGAGAATCAGTGAGAAGCATTTAGGAATATGTCAGTATGCCAGACCAAGAATATCCTTCTCTTTGGCCCATTTCCTTCTCCAGGAGGGCACTGCCCCAATCCCTGGTCTCTTTTAGGAAAAAAAATCCTTAAGACATTAAGGTGAAATAGATTTTTCTTACCTTCTCATTACATTGCTTAAATGTACACCTCACTTTCGTGAGCTTCACAACTGTGTCCTGGCTTCCTTACATAGATGACTGCCTCTCCTACAGGTTTCTGCCTTTGTAACTTCTTCTCTTTGTCTTTTCCAGAGCTTCAGTTATGTTCAAGTTTGAATACCCTCTGGTCTACAATATTCTTTGTTTCCTGGGCTCCCTCTCGTACTCTGATCTAGAGTGTCCTCCAGGCCTGCCACATAGCTGGGCCGCTCCTTGCTGCAGGTGACCAGAGTGAGAATTGTTCCTTCTATGTCCTCTCCTTTTCCCCTCTTTCTTGGTTTCCTCCTTATTTGAGTGGAATACATCTCAAGTAACTTCCTAAGAGTGTTCAGGAGGTCAATTTTCTGAGTCCTTTGCAGGACTTTATTCTACTCCAACACTTGACTGATAGTTTGGCTGAAGACAGAATTCTACGTTGTCTGAAAATAAAGACAGTTTTACTTCTTCCTTTCCAATCTGGATGTCTTTTATTATTTCATTTTCTTGCCTAACTGCACTGGCCAGAACCTCCAAGTTATATGTCAACTAGAAAGGGAGAGCATGGACATTCTTGTCTCATTCCTGATCTTAGGGGTTAAAGTCTCATCACTGAGTATGAAGCTAGCTGTAGGTTTTCATAGATGCCTTCTATCAGGTTTGAGGAACTTTCTTTCCATCCCCACTTTGCTAAGAGTTTTGTTACTCCTGTTCTTTTATCAAGAATGGATGTTGATACAGATGGCCAACAGGTACATGAAAAGATGCTCAACAATGGCTAATTATTAGAGAAATGCAAATCAAAACTACAACGAGGTACCACCTCACACCAGTCAGAATGGCCATCTTTAAAAAATGTACAAATAACAAATGCTGGACAGGGTGTGGAGAAAAGGGAACCCTCCTACATTGTTGTTGGGAATGTAAATTGGTGCAGCCACTATGGAGAACAGTATGGAGGCTCTTCAAAAAACTAGAGTTGCCAGATGATTCAGCAATCCCACTCCTGGGCATATATCTGGACAAAACTGTAATTCAAAAAGATGCATGCACCCCTATGTTCACAGCAGCACTATTCACAATAGCCAAGACATGGAAACAACCTAAATATCCGTCAACAGATGAATGGATAAAGATGTGGTACATATAGACAACGGACTATTACTCAGCCATAAAAAAGAATGAAATAATGCCATTTGCAGTAACACTGATGGACCTAGAGATTGTCATACTAAGTGACGTAAGTCAGAAAGACAAATACCATATGATATCACTTACATGTAGAATCTAAAATATGACAAGAACTTTTCTACAATACGAAACAGAAACAGACTCACACACAGAGAACAGACTTGTGGGGGTTGGGGGGGAGGAAAGGATTGGGAGTTCAGGATTAGCAGATGCAAACATATATAGAATGATTAAATAACAAGGTCCTACTGTATAGCACAGGGAACTATATTCAATATCCTGTGATAAATCATAATGGAAAAGAATATGAAAAAGAATGTACATATATGTATAACTGAATCACTTTGCTGTACAGCAGAAATTAACATAGCATTGTAAATAAACTATATTCAGTAAAAAAAATTTAAAAAATGTATGTATGTTGGATACTGTCAAGTACTTTTTCTGCATTTACTGAGATAATCATATGATTTTTCTTTTTTTAGTTTATTGATATGGTCAATTACATTAACTTTTGAATGTTAAACCTAACCTGCATTACTCCTATGGTAAACCCTACTTGGTCACGACATACTGTCCTTTTAACATATTCTTGGATTCAATTTGCTAAAATCTTATTCAAATTTTTTAGGTTCGTCTAGGACATTAATTTTCTTGTAATGGCCTTATAGAATGAGTAGAGATGTATTCCTGCTTCAACTTTTTGGAAGAGTTTGTGTAGTATTTCTTAAATATTTGGTAGAATTCACCAGTGAAGTTGTGTGGGCCTGGAGTTTTCTTTGCTAGAATGCTTTAAATTCCAATTTCAATTTGTTTACTACATAGGGCTATTCAGATTATTCATTTCTTCTTGAGTTTTCATAGTTTGTGTGTTGCAATAAATTGTCTATTTCATCTAAGTTGTAAAATTTACTGGCATAAAGTTGTTCATAATATTTTTATTTTTTTTAGTATCGGTAGAAACTGTAGTGATGATACATCTGTCTTTTTTTTTTTAAGATTTCTTTTTTGATGTGGACTATTTTTAAAGTCTTTATTGAATTTGTTACAATATTGCTTCTATGTTTTGGTTTTTTGGCCGTGAAGCATGTGGGATCTTAGGTCCCCAACCAGGGATCGAACCCACATCCCCTGCATTGGAAGGTGAAGTCTTCACCACTGGACCACCAGGGAAGTCCCACATCTGTCATTTCTGATATTGGAAACTTATGTCTTTTCTTTTTCCTAATCAGTCTGGCTAGAGATTTATCCTAGCCTTTGGTCTTTAGTTTTCATTGATTTTCTTTATTGTTGCTCATTTTCCTACTGAATTGTCTTTTTTCCTATTGATTTTGAATTGCATACACACACACACACACACACATTCTAGAAACAAATCCTCGGTCAGTTTTACGTGATGTAAATAGCTCTTAATTTTCTTTAAAAGTGTATTTTGATAAAACTTTTTAATTTTATATACTCAAATGCATCATTCCCTCCTTTAAAATTTCTTTTTATCTTGCAGGGCCATCTAAAGCTATAATGGAAACCTTTAATTCTCTGCAGGCACATACCATTGAGTACCTTGACACAGAGCATCATACCTGATCAAGGGAGAAATGGTTATGCTATGCGTAGAACAGGAAGAAGAGCCTTCCAAGAGTGGGTAAGATCTGGTAATTAAATGAGCCATGCAACCTACCCCTAGTTTAAAAAATATATATTTTTTTGATCCTAATTTTTTTTTTTTTTTAACCTCATTACTCACACCTAGAAAGAATTCAGGTAGGAAAACGAAAATCAATGGTCCTTTACTTCATTTGATATAAGTCCTAATTTTCTTGGCATTTGTAAGATTGGCTTAAACACAGAGAATTACATTTGGGTAGAGGTTTTCGGGGTTTTTTTAATATACTTTTTTTTTTACTTTTAAAAATTGTGGTAAAAACATATTTAACAAATTTGTCATTTTAACCATTTTTAAATGTAAAATTCAGTGGCATTAAGTACGTTCACAATATTGTATAACCACTTTCGTTATCTATTTCCAGAACTTTTATATCACCTCAAACAAAATCTCTATACCCATTAAATAACTCCCCATTTCCCTCTCACCTGAAGCCCTGGTACCCTCTAATCTACTTTCTGTCTCTACAAATTTGCCTACTGTAGATATTTTGTACACGTGGAATCATGTAATGTTTGTTCTTTGGGGTCTGGCTTATTTCACTTAGCATAATGTTTTCAAGGTTCATCCACCTTGTAACATGTGTCAGAACTTCATTTGTTTTTATGGCTGAATACTCTTCCAGCGTAAATATATGCCACATTTTGTTTATCCGTTCGTCTGTTCAACCCAATCAAACACTTGGGTTGTTTCCACCTTTTGTCTACTGTAAATAATGCTTCTGTGAGTATTACAAGTATCTGTTTGAGTCTCTATTTCCAATTCTTTTGAGTATATACC